GATGTTGTTGGAGTAGGTGTGGTCCTGTTGGAAGAAGTGTGTCAGGGTGTGTGTGTGGTCTTTCGGGTTTCAGAAGCTCAAGTCAGGCTCAGAGTCTCTCTCTCCCTGCTGCCTGCAGACCCAGAACCCCTGGAATAAAGGCAATTTATTAGAGTGGCTGACAGGCTGTGGTCTAGCAGATCTGACAATGACTGGCTATGACCGAAAAGTCCAAGAATTCAGTAGTTGCTCAGTTCATGGGTCTGGATATCTCAGCTGGTTTTCAGTAGACACTGGAGTCCTGAAGAAGCAGGCTCTAAGGCCGGTGAAGGAATGGACTTGTTTGCAAGGCAAGAGCAAGCAGTCAAAGAGTGAAAGTTTCCTTCTTTCATGCCTTTATATAGGCTTCCAGGGGAAGGTGTGGCCCAGAGTAAAGGTGCATCTTCCTGCTTCAAGATCCAGATGAAAGGCATGTGTCTTCCTACTCCAGATTAAATGAAATCCCTCACTGCTGTGCCCTCTATTTTTGGATTTTAGTTAATTCTAGAAGTAATCAAGTTGACAATCAAGAATGGCCATCACAAACCCTATTGCTAAGCTGTGACCTTAAAGTCATTTATTCTCAGTAGAATGCTCTGGGTTTTAAACCATTTCCTTACTTTTGGGCTGTAATCGTCTCCCAGGAGCTCTGGAGGTTCTCGCAACTCTCCAACAGTTAGTGCTGTTCTCATGGCTCCCCAGCAGTGACTGTTTTCACAGTTCCCCAACAGTTATGCTCTACTTCAGCCTGTGGAGTTTCACTCTAAACATTCAATTTAGTGTTCGGCCCAAAAGGACCCTATGGGGCTCTAGAACTCATCCTTTCTATGGCTCTATCCTGCCTCTACCCCACAGGCAGTAGTTGTCCTGACTGGTGATTCATTTCTTGGTTCAGTAAGAAAGGTGTAATGGGATTGGCTGCTTTCTTGCTCCCTATACTGGCCTTCAGTAAATGCCAATAGGTAGGAAGTCCTGGTAACTGGTAACAAGAGTTTGCCTCCCTTGTTCCCTTCTCTTGGAAATCATCACCCTTGACCGCCATAACCATACTTTCTACAAGTCCTCTTCAGGATTCAGGTGCTGACAATGTGTTATCAAGCAGGGTTTTAGATCCCTAAAGGCCCCACCTTTGTGATTGGGATTAAGACTCTTACAAATGAAAGTTTATCCATGGTCCAGTCAGCTTGCCCTTCTACCTGCTTTGGGGCAAAAATGCAGAGGCAGGTGCCATTTTGGAAGCAGAGAGCAGCCCTCACCAGATAGCCAAATCTGCAGATGGCTTCTCTGGATTCCAGATGTTTACAACCTCTGGACTTAATGAAATAAATCACCTTTTGTTTTTTCAATACATAAAACAATTTGAATAACCATTCCAGCTAATTACTAGATGCTCTGTTTTGGACACTGTGATTGTTCTAGTTTGCCTCTCTGTTGCTGTAATAAACATCATGACCCAAAATAACTTGGTGAGAACAGGGTTTATCTCATCTTATGTTTCCAGGCCACAATCCAACATTGAGGAAAGTCAGGACAGGAAGTCAAGCAGGAGCAGAGCAGGAACCATGGAGGAATGCTGCTTGCTGGCTTACTCCCTGGCTCATGTTGGGCCACCTTCCTTTTACAATTCAGGACCATCAATTAGCAACCAAGAAAATGCCTTACAGACAGGCACACAGGCCAATCTGATGGAAGCAATTCTCAGTTGATGTTCCCACTTCCCAGGCTTTTTAAGTTGATAACCAATAATAGCTATCTTGTGATTTTGAAGTGTTTTTACTGTTTTGTTAGCATACAGAATAATGAGTTTCATTATATATGCACATTGCTGAAACCTCTCATTATATTTCTTCCTTCCTCCCATGCCCTGCTCCCAAATTCCCGTTCATTTAAAGTACCTGGTCTGTGGTGTTCTGCTGAGGCAACACAGACACCCTAGGGACAGTGTCCACTATCTGGAAGAGGTTGTTTGATGTCTTGGGTACAGTTGAGGGATGTCCATGGTGAGAGTATGTTACTGCACCATGAGGAAGTGGGAGTCTTCTTGTTCCTTTTCTAACTTTTTGAGGATGTTGCCTAGGTTCTGACTTTTCAACTTTTGATTCTGGTTTCCAGATGAGACTGGGCATGTTTGTGTGGCATGGCTGTAGACTTGGTGCCGATTTTCAAACACAGACATTTAGGGGTGGATATTTCCCTCATGGACACCACTTTAGCTTTAGTCAACAGGCTTCACTATGTGGTGTTTTCATTATTGAAGTACTTTCTGGTTTTCAGCGTGGTTCCTTCTTTGATCTATGGGTTATTTGAAGTTAGTATAAGGTATGAGCCCTTACACACACACACACACACACACACACACACACACACACACACACACACACCACATGTTGCGAGCACCTCCTTCTGTAGGTAAAATCTCTCTCAGTTTCTTGGTCTCATCCTTGACTGAACAACTTTTTGATTTTGGTGTAGTCAATTTATGAAAAAAGTCGATTTATAGCTGGTGGGTTTTTTGGTAACCTACTTAAGAAATTTATGTATCTCTCATGACTTTGACAATATTCTGTTTCCACAGTTGGACTTATGATGCAATGGTTCTCAACCTTCCTAATGCTGCAACCCTTTAAAACAGTTCCTTATGCTGTGGTAAAGTCCAACCATACAATTATTTTCCTTGCTATTTCATAACTGTAAATTTGCTACTGTTATGAATAGTAATGAAAATATATGGTATGCAGGATATCTGATATGTGACTTCTGTGAATAGGTCATTTGACCCTCAAAGGGATCTCTACCCACGGGTTGAGAATTATTGACTTCTGATGTATCTTGAGTTATCTTTGATGAAGATAAGTAGGATTAAACAGGGTTTTCTTGAGACAGGTGACTAGATATAATTAGAACTATATTCTGCTCCATTTATCTATAAATTTATTTATTTTCAATTTTTAAAAATTTATTTATTTTATATGTATAGGTGTTTTGCCTGCATGTATGTCTGTGCACCATGTGTGTGAATGGTGCCAGTAGAATCCAGAAGAGGGCATCAGATCTCAGGGACTGGAGTTGATTGTGAGCCACCACATGTGTGGTGGGAACTGAACCTTGATCTTAGCCCACCCATTCCTTAAGGCCCGCTTACTACAGATTTTTTCATCGTCATCATTATCATCATCTTCTTTGTCTTCCTCCTCGTCCTCCTCCTCCTCTTCTTCTTCTTTCTTTCTTTCTCTCTTTTTTTTTCCAGACAGGGTTTCTCTTTTTGTTTTGGAGGCTGTCCTAGAGCTCTCTTTGTAGACCAGGCTGGCTCCAAACTCACAGAGATCCACCTGCCTCTGTCTCCCGAGTGCTGGGATTAAAGGCATGAGCCACCAATGTCCGCTCATTTTTCATCTTCTTAATCAATCTCTCTCTCCCTTCATATTTAGTTTTAAAGTACATTTTCTCCAGGTTTGTGGTATTGTTTGATGTGGCAACACAAATATCCTAAGACAAAGTCCTCATTTCTGGAAGCATTTGTTCCCTGTGTTTAGTCCAGTTGGACAGGTGTTTATGATGGGAGGTCACGTTTCGTGTGGGTTACTGCATAAATGGGGGAAGTGTTTGTTTGTTTGGGGTTTTCTGACGTTTTTTTCCCTAACTTTGTGGCCTTGCTTACTTATCTTCAGTTTTTGTCCTTTCCTCCTTCCTTCCCCCTCACTCTCTCCCTGGCCATTTCAGTCAGGGTCTTTGTATTTAGCTCAGGCTAACCAGGGACTCACTATGCACTACAGGGTGGCCTCATATTTATGATCCTCCTACCTCAGTCTCCTGGGCACTGGGATTACAAGCAAAGTCTGTTTTCCAATCCTCTGTTACCAGCATCTCTGCTGTCCTCCATCTTGCTAGGTGCTTAGGAAAGTTACCAGGGTGGATTTACATATGGGGATCCCCTCTCTGATTTGGGAGTCTATGGAGCATTCAAGGACAAGATCAGAGCCATGAAGTTGAGAGGGATTTGGGTCTTTTATTATTCATGTTACACACTTAGTCACCTCTTCTTCTTCTTCTTCTTTTTTTTTTTTTTTTTTTTTTGGTTTTTACGAGACAGGGGTTCTCTGTATTGTTTTGGAGGCTGTCGGTCCAGCCCGGCCTTGAACTCACAGAGATCCGCCTGCCTCTGCTTCCCGAGTGCTGGGATTAAAGGCGTGTGCCACCACCGCCCGGCAGTCACCTGTTCTTCTATGTTGCCCCAGGTGCCATTACTCTACTGGAGGGAGCTACCCTTTTAAAACTCCTCCAGAGTTCTGTCATTTATGACCCCTTCCTTTCTAGGAGAGGTGATAGCTCTTATGATTGCAAATCACACCTGGGCTCCTGATCAATCCATTGGTGCCTGCTTTCTAACCCCTCATGGTCAGTCTTTTTGCATATTAAATTCTGAGAGACATCTTAATTTGAATGTGTTCTCTGTTCTCTATAGCAACACAGGTGTATTAGAAGAGTTTGAAGAAACAGGACCTAATACTGACCATCTTTGCTAAATATCCTTCATTTTATGAATGTGGTTTTAGGAATTCTTGGGTTTCCCTAGCAGGCATCACCGCACCCTGCACTTGGTGACCTTGGCATTTCTCATTTTAAATACTTTAATTTTATTGCTTTCACCTCTGTCCTGCCATTCTTTGGCCTCCATTCTAATGCTGAGCAGAAATGCAGTTGTCTATTCCCAGATTTAAGCCAAAGGTACTGAGAATGACACTCTTTTGTAGACCTGGGAGAGCTAAACCATTTGAAGTCGACAGGATTCTTCTCTCTCTGAGTTTGTTAGTTTTTCAAATCGTGAACAGATGTTGACTTGTGCTGAATGCCTTCCTTCATGGTTTGAAGTAACCACAGAGCTCCTCTGTCTCTTTCTGTTCTCCCTTGGGTCTCAGTCCTGTCCAGGCAGTGCATGTCAAGGTCACGGCTGGGGGACTTTCCTTCCCTGCCCCAGTCTCAGACAGCAGAGGTGGAGCCCTCCACACTCCCAGTCCTCTCAGGGTCTAACGACTTTGGGGATTTTTTTCCTTGCAGAGCCTACAAGATGTCCTTGACAGCACCATGTTGATGTATATTATTTCGCTTATAGAACATTCCTTTTGTGTTTATCTAAGAACTCCAGGACATTAGTAAAGAAAGGAAGCCATAATTAAAGTGATGGGGAGAAAAGCTCATGCTGATCTGAACCTACATTTGCAGCAATCCTACAAAGTGGGGCTTAGTACACTTACTGGACATGGACAAGAACAGGCCTAGAAGAGGTGCGATGCCTTGCTCAGGACAGCATCATGAAAGCCTCACTGGGTCCAGATCTTGAACTTACAAACTCTACTTACAGGAGGATGCGAATGTCGCTAAGTTGGTAGAGTTCTTGTCTAGCATGCGCCACCGAAGCCTGGGTTCTAACCCCAGCACTGCATAAACTGGGTATAGTGGTGCACACCTGTAATCCCAGCATGGGGTGGTGGGGACAAGAGGATCAGAAGTTTAAAGGATTCTCTACACACTGAGTTCCTGGACAACATGGACTATGTGAGACCATAAAAGTGAAAACAACAAGAAGAAAAGAAACTCCATTTGTTTCCTCCTAACAGAGAAGTGAGACCAGGTCCCAAATCAACCCCCACCCCCGGGGCTTCCTTTCCCTGTCCCTTGGAGCCTCAGTACTGTGTCTCTGAGTCTGTTTCCTCATTTCTTCCCAGCTTCCCACTCACTGCCACCAGAAGGCCCTGAGGCTCTTTGTCTATGCTCTCTCAGACCTTGCAGCTTCTCCAAAGTGGATGACTATCCTGCCCTTGCTGTGAGTATTGGCAGCACGCACGTGTGCCTGGGTGGAAGTCTGAGTTCCTCCCTGCTCTGATTCTGCTGGTGTTGAGATGGGCTGGCACGTGCTACTGCCTGGCCTGCTCCTTTCCCTGCCTCTGGTAACAGGGTGGACCACTTCCAAGTGCCTACTGACTGAAGACTCCCCGCTGCCCCTGGTCTCTCGCTACTTCTCACTGTGCTCAGTGTCCGTGACCCAGCTGTCCTTCCTTGCCGCATGCATCTCAGTGACCAACCTGACACAGACCTTGGCAGCTGTGCCTCAGACTGTGGAGGGGCTCTGCCTCAGTGGTTCTATGTCTTCTCTGCCTCCGGATGCTTTCTCTGCTTTTCCCAGACTCAAGATGCTGGGACTGAATCTGCATCTCACCCGACTCTTGCCAGGAGCTCTCCGCGGCTTGGGACAGTTGCAGAAACTCTCTTTTCTAGACCACCCTTTTGGGAAGAAATCCCTCTTTATACCTCCTGATGCCTTTGGTGACCTGGTTTCCCTCCAGAGACTCCATATCTCGGGCCCCTGCTTGGACAAGAAGGCAGGTATTCAGCTGCCTCGCAGTCTGCAACGGCTGGCTGTCATGTTCAATTGCCTTCAGGACGTCGGAGAGCTGGCTGGCATGTTTCCAGATCTGGTGCAAGGCTCCTCTCGCAGGGATCCATGGACCCTGCGTATGTTGGATCTGTCATTCAACCGGGAGCTGAAGATGGCTAGTCCTGGGTCCCTCCAGGGTCTCCAGCTGGAGACTCTGAACCTGGACCAAACACTTCTGGAGGCATCGAGAGTGAGAGCACTGGGACTTCAGAAACTGGATGTCCTGTCTGCGAAGTTGACTGCCACGGCCCAACTGCCTGCCGAGGCTGTTGCCCACTTGGAGCTGCAGGAGCTGAATGTGGGTTATAACAAGATAGGATCCATATCTCAGGAGGCCCTGGCTTCCTGTCACAGCCTGAAGACCTTGGGTCTTGAAAGCACGGGCCTGACTAAGTTGCCGCCAGGGTTCTTGGCAGCCATGCCCAGGCTTCAGAGACTGAATCTGGCTGGAAATCAACTGCAGAGCGACACGCTGTGCTTGAATGAGACCGGAGACGTGTCAGGACTGATGACTCTGAACCTGGCAGACAATGGGCTGCGCACCCTGCCTCCAGCCACCTTCTCCTGTCTACCCCACTTGCGGGAGCTGCTGCTTCAGGACAACCAGCTGCTCTCCCTGGAGAGGCAGCTATTGCAGGGTCTACAGCAACTAGAGACCTTGAATTTGGATAAAAATCCCCTGCTTAACCTGGGTAAGAACTGGTTGGCTGCCCTGCCTGCACTGACTGCCCTTAGCCTGCTAGACACTCACTTGTCACTAATCCCAGACCCTGGCTTCTGGGGAGCAAAGAGCCTGCGCACCTTGAGACTGAAGCTTCCCTCTGTCCCTGCCCCGACAGTATTGTCCCTGCCGATGTATCTGACCAGCTTAGAGCTTCATGAAGCCTCAGGCAGGAAGCCCTGGGGGTTGTCCCCGAATGTCTTTCCTTTCTTGGAGACCTTGACTATAAAAGGCAAGGGCCTGAAGCTGGAGGGCCAGAATGCCTCTGAGGTCTTCCCTGCTCTTCAGCAACTTTCCCTGCTCCAGAATAGCTTGGAGGCCTTCTGCTCCAGGGACAACTCCAACACTTTCCCCTGGCAACTCCCTAAACTTCAGACCTTGAAGATCTGGGGTGCTGGAAGCAATTTCAGACCCTGTCTTATCACTGGGCTGCCCAGCCTACAGGAGCTCAAGCTGGAGGCCCTTCAGTCCACAATCCAGCCCCGTTCAGTGCAGCTGGAGGAGCTAGTGGGCGAGCTTCCGCAGCTCCAGGCACTACAGCTGTCCGACACAGGGCTCAAGTCACTGTCGGCGACCGCTTTCCAACGCCTGAGCAGTCTCCGGGTCTTAGTGGTAGACAGTGAGGAAGACTTGGTCCTGCATGACAGTCTGGGGGAGTACAGCCCTCAGATGCCCCAGTATATATACATTCTGCAGTCAAACTTGGCTTGCCAGTGTGCCAATGCATGGATGGAGCCGTGGGTTAAGCAGTCCACTAAAACGTACATATACATACACAGCAGTAAGTTATGTCCAGCAGAAGAGGGGGTCCCTGCCAAGCATTCACTCTTCTCCTTTCTATGGGACCACTGCCCCCAGTCTTTGGAGCTAAAACTCTTTTTAGCCAGCTCTTCTTTGGTGTTTCTGCTGATTGCTTTGCCACTCCTCCAAGAAGCCGGGAACTTACGGATCCCCTTCCTCCAGGCCTTGTTCAGGGTTTGGCTCCAGGGCCGTAGGGGTCAGCGGGATGAAGGAAAGAGGTTCCTTTTTGATGTATTTGTGTCCCACTGCAGGCAAGACCAGGGCTGGGTAATAGAGGAACTTCTGCCCGCTCTGGAGGGCCCTGGTCTACGCCTCTGTCTCCCTGACCGAGACTTTGAGCCTGGTAAGGATGTAGTTGAAAATGTGGCGGACAGCATGGTGAGTAGCCGTGTCATACTCTGTGTGCTGAGTGGCCAGGCCCTGTGTAACCCTCGCTGCCGCCTGGAGCTCCGTTTGGCCACCTCTCTATTCCTGGCTGCCCCCTTCCCTCCAGTGTTGCTGCTAGCCTTCCTGGAACCCATTTCCCGACACCAGCTCCCCGGCTACCACAGACTGGCTAGGTTGCTTCGACGAGGAGATTACTGTTTGTGGCCCGAGGAAGATGAAAGAAAGGCTGGCTTCTGGGCTTGGCTGAGGAGCAGGCTAGGGCAGCCGGGGGTGGAGTAGGGCGGCACTTGTGAATTTTAGGGTGGGGGTAGGAGAAGCAAGCTAGACTGGCAGGGACTCAGTGTGTTTGCGGGGAGGGGGCAGGTTGGGACTGACAGCATGAAGTCAGCTTTTGCAGATGCAGGAATCCATGTGCTGGCAACACAGGTTGGGACAGGCGGAGGGCTGGGGGTTGAATGAGGAAAGCTGAGAGATGTCAGGTGCCCAGGGGGTATGTGACATTCCCATGATCTCTCTAAGACCTCAGTAAATTGGTTAAATCTGAGAAATTATGGGTGGTTGATTTTTTTTTATTTAGTGGAAATGCAAGAGGCAGAGGGTGGAAAGGGAAATACAGGTGGGCAGGCTGGGGAGAAGATGAGGCCTTTCTAAGCTTAGGACATGGAACCAGGCCAAGTTCAACCTGATCTTCAAGAGGCCAATGGGTCCTTTTGTATACAGGGGCATAGTAGATGTGTTAGCTTCACTTCTGTTGCTGTGATAAAACACCTGGACCAAAATCAGCTTAAGGTCAGGCTGTGGTGGTGCACACCTTTAATGCCAGCACTTGGGAGGCAGAGGCAGGAGGATCTCTGTGAGTGTGAGGCCAGCCTGGTCTACAAAGTGAGTTCCATTACAGGGTCCAAAGCAGAGAAACCCTGTCTTGAAAAACCAAACCAAACCAAATCAAACCAAACCAAAACAACAAAATCAACTTAAGGAAAGGATTTTTTTTGGGGGGGGAAGCTTACAATTCCAGGTCACACTCTTGTTAAGGGAAGTCAAGGCAGGCCTGCTTGTTATTTCACACAGCAGGACCTCCAACCAGGGACTCACTTCACAGCCAAGACATTCACCAAGAACCATGGAGGGTGCCGCTTGCTAGCTTGCTTATGCTCAGCTAGCTTTCTTATAGGGTTCAGGACCACTGCCTAGGTTTGGTTACCGTACACAGTGGACTTGATTCTCCAATTGACAATCAAGACAGCCCCCCCCCACAGTCATGCCCTAAGCCATCTGTTCTAGGCAATTTCTCAATTGAGGCTTTCCTCTCAAATGACTTTAGACTATGTCAAGTTGAAAGTTAAAGCTAACTGGGACAGAAAGATTGACAGTTAAGGGCCACAAAGCTGGGATGTAATCCAAGAACAGACAGATCATTTCTCCTTCAGTGAAAACATGAAGATATGCTCATGTAGCTAATCCTCTTGAGCCTCCAAACAGTCCTATCACCCTGCATGCTCTAGCGAATGGAGCCAGCCACACATAGCTCCCAGTGCACCATGAACTCTTGCCTCTGAGTCTTTGTACAGACTGCTTCTTTAGTGACAGCACCTTTTCCCCTGGGGACCTGCTAAACATCCTTTAAGATCCAGTTCAGCCATCACTTTCTCCAAAGGCCTGTGTTGAGCTTCCAGCCTGGGGCAGGGTTTGGGAAGAAAATATATTAATATTCCACTTTCTCTCTTTCCTACTTCTGCCTGTCCCAGCCTGGCCTTGGGATTCTCAAAGTAACTGGGAATGAACTCCCAATCTTCTTGCCTCAAAATCTCAAGTGCCAGGATTATGGGTGTGTGTATTATCTGGCCCAGCTATATTTCTCTTTTCTTTTTAAGATCTCACCTTTTCTGAAGCTAGGTGGCCCTCTCTATAACTATGTGGTTCTGAAGCTAGATGGCCCTCTCTCTCTCTCTTTTTTTTTTTTTTTTTTTTGGTTTTTTTTTTTCGAGACAGGGTTTCTCTGTGGCTTTGGAGGCTGTCCTGGAACTCGCTCTGTAGACCAGGCTGGCCTCGAACTCACAGAGATCTGCCTGCCTCTGCCTCCCGAGTGCTGGGATTAAAGGCGTGCGCCACCAACGCCCGGCTTAGACGGCCCTCTCTTTAACTATGTGGCTCTGGAGCTAGACGGCCCTCTCTTTAACTATGTGGTTTTGGTATGTCACTTACTCTTGCACCCATTTCCTGTCCTGTAAAATGGGATAGCACCACACTCCTCAGTCTTTTGATGATTAAATGCATTAATATGACAGAAAGAACAAGAAAAACATCTATCAATTCATTACATGTGTTCAATAGAAGCTTCATATTGCAGGACTGGATTAATAATCCATACTCAGTGATTAATAATCCACACTGTTCTCGAAATGGACCCGAGTTTGCAATCTAGCACCCACTTTGGAGCAGGTGTTCAGAACCACCTCTAACTCCAGCTCCAGGGGGTCTGATGCCCCCTTTTGGCCTCGTAGGGTATTGGCATTCATACCTATATACCCACACCAACACATTTACATAGTTAAAAAAAGTAGTCCGGCAGTGGTGGCACACGCCTGTAACTCCAATACTCAGGAGGCAGAGGCAAATGGATCTCTGTGAGCAGTTCTATGCCAGCCTTGTCTACAAAGCAAGTTCCAGAACAGTCGGAACTGTTACACAGGGAAACCCTGTCTCGGAAACCAAATCAAACCAAAAACCAAACCAATAAACCAAAGCAAACCAAAAAACCCCAAACTGATAGGGGAAGTCCTGTGTGTATGTCAATAAAGCACTGTTGGCCAATAAGGAACCAAGATAGGTGGGACTAGGAGTTGAGGACTCTGGGTAGGAGAAACACAAGGAAGTCAAGATGTAACTGCCACAGGGATAAGAAGCCCGGAAACTTTGCTCCGGTAAGAGAAATACTTAGACTAACAATTATGGGGTAAACATTTAAGTCAGAGCTAGCCAGTAAGAAACAAGCAAGGCCAACAGCTTCATAATTAATATAGCCTCCTGTGTGTTTATTTGGGACTGATGCGGCTCTGGAACCAGGCTGGCGGGAAGGCTTCTCTTTACACCAAACAAACAAATGAGCAAACAACCAAGCAAACAACAAAAAGAATCTTTTAAAGACCAAAAATTAAAATGTTTTATATTACTATACACTATATGTGTATCGTTTATAAGCAAATACACATATATTGGAAGCATGTGCTTTGGAAGTGTGTTTTACTCCCAGGAATAGAAGGTTTGGAGATCAGGTCCTGTAGCTCATCCTTGGAGCCTACTTCTGACCCAGGGGAAAAGATTCAGATAGGCATATGCAGATTGCTGCCAAACCAGACAGAACCCAAGGCTAGTTCTGTCTGGGATTTGGCCTCGTAGGGATTTTTTTTTTAACTTTTCCATTTTTGTAATAAAAATTCCAGGTTTTAATTAGACAAAGGCTAAGAGACAATATGCAATGCTAGGCTGGATTGAGGGCGAGGGCTGCCCTCTTGTGGCCTATTGGTGTCTCTCTCTTTCTGCACCTCACCTCCGTTTCTGCTCTTCAGGACAGACCAGGATAACGTGAAGGTCTCACCCGACCCTGCAAAGCTGTCTTTCTGCCTTTGGACACCAACACTGTCTCTGAGGTCTCCTTCCATTCACCCTCCTCACTGTGTTAGCACTTACTCCAAGTCCTCTTCCTCCTTCCACGTGGGGTCTCTTCCTCACGAAAGGTCAAGCAGACAGCAAGGAAACATCTGGAAGTTCAGCCTTGGTACTTACTGTGTAAGTGTTACTGAGCAGGCTAACTTATATCTCTAAGCCCCCACCATTTTTGTAAGTTGGGGTAACAAAACCAACCTCATAGAGCTGCAGGGACAATTGAATAAGGCATGCCAATAATAACCCATTAATGCCAACACATTGCATACAAGAAATCATGTAATATATTAAGAAGTAAGTCAGAATATAGTTTCTAGCTAAGGAGTTTGGAATGGGTTATTAAACTAGATGTGGAATTTCCCCCAAATGTAACACTAGCTGACGTAGTGAGCCCTTCATTTCCAAATGTAACACTAGCTGACGTAGTGAGCCCTTCATTTCCAAGTGCTAGCTATTGTCAATTTGCTCAAGTTTCATAGCACTCAATCAAAATAACAGCCAGTAGCTATTCAAATTTTCGAGTGCTAGGAAGGTGATAGGCTCTTCACATTCTTTGCCAGCCTCCTTCTCATGCGTCTGTAAAGGAAGATTTCACAATTATTATCCCCACCCTCCAGACAAGGAAACTGAAATGTTAGAGGTGTAGGGGAGACAGCTCAGTTGGTAAGGTGCTTGCCACATGATCAATAAGAGTTTGAGGTCAGGTTCCCAGCATCCATATAAAAGCCAGGAATCACAGGGCCATATGTAATGCCAGTATTGGGGAATGAGTCAGGAGGCAAAGTCAAGCAGATTCCCAGAACTCATGGGTTAGCTAACCTAGCTGAATCTTTGAGCTCCAGGTTCAGTGACAGACTCCACCGTTAATTAACAGAGCAGAGAATGCTCCATGAAAGACACTTATATTGATCTCAGCCCTCCACAAGCATGTGCACATGCATGCACAGTGAACCTACCCACACAAACACACACGCACAAAAGAGGCGATAGCACTATGCTCAAGGGTTTCCTGCTAGTGAGTGTTAAGGCATGCACTCAGCATTGAAAAGTGGTTTGAATCCAGAATCCCTGCTTTACCTACGTACTATCTTTAATCTTCAAAATATCAGATGGAGGTTCTGCTCTGTCTCCTGAATTTTACAGCTGAAAAAAAGGACAAATGTGATGCAGTGTTTGTTTGTTTGTTTGTTTTCAAGGCTTCGCAGCTCAGAAGTATCAGAGTTGGGATTTGGATCTATGCCTGACTACAAACCCCACATTTCCAGCTTCCTATCAAATTCTCAGACCTTAGAGTATTTACAGCGGCCATCTTAGTTAGGATCACTATTACTATGACAAAACACCATGACCAAAGCAACTTGGGGAGGAAAGGGTTTATTTGGCTTATCCTTCACTGAAGGAAGCTGGGACAGGAACTCAAACAGGGCAGGAGCCTGGAGGCAGAAGTTGATGCAGAAGCTATGGAAGGACACTGCTTATTGGCTTGCTCAGCCTGCTTTCCTATAGAAACCCTGAACCACCAGGCCAGGGGTGGCCCCACCCACAATGGGCTGGGCCCTTTCCCATAAATCATTAAATAGGAAAATGTCCCACAGCACATCTTATGGAGGCATTTTCTCAATTGTGCCTCCTTCTTCTCTGATGACTCTAGCTTGGGTCAGGTTGGCATAAAACTAGCCAGGACGGTGGTCCAGAGCAGCCACAAATTATATTCAGATTATTTAGTACAAAGGATTAAGATGTTTCCAACACCCAAAGGACTCAAGCTCTGAACAAATCGACTTACACAATAATGGCCAATATCAGCTACCCATTGTTGGATCCTGGCTCTGAATTAGCAGCTCTAGGTTTAATGTTTCACCGATGCCTCACATAAAC